CAACTCCCCTCCCATCCAGGCTGCCAGGCAGCAGTGTGTGCTCTCTGCTTCTGAGCTCACTCCCATCTGGTCTCAGCAGGTCACGATGGGACACTTCCTCAGCAGGTGTGGAAGGGTGAAGCCTCACTGTGCTCAGTCAAGACAAGGCAGGTACAAATACCGACTGCGGCAGGCTCACCCGGACATTCTGAGCTGAGAGCCTAAAGATGGTGTAAGGATCTGGGGTCAAGGATCTTGGTGACAACAACTGTCAATGTGTCCGTCTCTTGAGTCTGTCACGCTGCTCTGATCTGAACCCATGTCCCTTTACATGAGGCACAGAGCTGACGCCCTGGAATCCCCCTTCACCATCTTCCCAGGAGAGCCCTTTGCCTTCTCGCCTGTGATGGATTTCCCATGCTTTCCAGAAAACCTGCATGAAAGAGAAACTTTTTGAAATCTTGTGTTTCTGAAAAATCCATATATTCTATCTTTTTACTTGATTGATAACTTGAATGGATTCAAATCCAAAGCCTTTCTTATATGTAATCCTTTGTATGTTACTTTTTTTTTTTCTTTTTGAAAGTTTCTTGACTGTTTTCTTTAATTTGCTTGGGTATGGGTTTATTTTCATCCAACCAACCCTTATAATCCAGTAACTCATATCCTTCTGTTCTGGAAAATTTCCTCCAATTAGTTCATTGACGATTTCCTCCCTTTCATTTGTTTCTTTTTAGAATTTATATTGTTTCTATTTAGATTATTTCTATTATCCTGAAAGTGTCCTTTAAAGTTCTTATCAATAAGAATGTATTGTATAGCACAGGGAACTCTACTAAACCCTCTGTAATGGCGTATTTGGGAAAATAATCTTAAAAAGAATAGACATATGTATATGTATAACTGATTCACTTTGCTATACACCTGAAGCTATAATAACACATTGTAAATAAACTATATTCCAATTTTTAAAATGCTCTCATCTTTCCTCTCCTACATTCCTACATTTTCTATCTCTTTGTATGTTTGTTTTACTTTCCAGGGAGATTCAACCAGCTTTACCTGCCTGTCTTTCTATTGATGTTTTTGTTTCTGTTGTAATGATTTTATTTCTCAAGACATAATTGTTGCTTTTGCTATTCTCTGGATGTTTCTTTGTATAGCACCTTGTTCTTGTTTCATGATGCAGATCTTATCTCTCTAAGGATACTGTGGTCTTTTTGACCCTCTCTTCTCTCTGGGTAATCTGTTTCCTCGAAGTTACTTTTTCTGATTGTTTTGTTACTCTCTTCTGCGTTTGAAAATTCCCTAGATGTCTGGCAATCTTTGGCTATGATCAAGATTGTGGGGATGGGAGGGAGGCTAGTCAGAAACTCTGAGCTCAGAGAGAAGCTGGGTTTGCCACTGCAGCGTGGGCTAGCTGGGCTGTTTCTTATGTCAGTAACTTTAGGTCTTTCCTCTTGGACTGGTGAAATACCCCAGAGTAGTGCCGTCCAGTTTCCTGTCTAGGTCCTACTCCCAGCACTTGGGGAGCCTGATGGTGGCAGAATGCTCAGCATCTCTGCATTTCACCATTCCATGTGGCAAGGTCAACTGATCCTTTGGATTTCAGTATTTTTCAGTGTGGTATCTCCATTCACAACTGTGCTCCATCCCAGACACCCTCTATCTTATCTTCAGAAGAAAACTCCCCAGACTGTGGCTGGGATATGAGAGGGGCTATTGCCCAGGAGTTTGGAGCTGGGGGAGAGATGGAGGGCTCTAACTGCCCATCCTGGTCCTTATCTTAACAACCTCTTCCACCTTTCACCTCTGGGAATCCATAGGTACCACGGAGAGGTTCTCTATGCCTCTGAGAATCTTGCAATGCAGATCTAGTCAGTTCTCAGTTCCCCCCACCCTGAGCCGTGACAGCTGACATGACTCTTTCCTTGGCGCTGATAAGTCAGTACTGGTCCGCCATTCTGCTTCAAAAATTCTGTGGCTGTTGTCTTTTCCCATGTTCTCTCTATCCTTGTGGGTTTACCTCTTGATTTAAAAAACCTCTTTATTGAAGTTTTAGTGGGGTTTTGGGAAGGAGTGAAAGTAGATGTACACATTCAATTACCATCTTAACCCAGAACCCTAACTTCCCTTTTCAATATGTTTTTAAAAATATAATCCCTGGGAATCACCTTCCTTGGTCATGAAGGGCTGTTATTTTAATGTACCAGGATATGTTTATTTCTGTCTTTCCATTTAGAAGTCTTTCTGTGAACATGATTAGCAGGAAATGAGCCTTTCTATGAGGAGAATTAAAGGAAAACGTCTCTAGTGGGATAACTTTTATTAAGTATATGAGAGAAGCCCAGAGGCTGGATCTCAGTATGTGGTCTCCAGGCATCCCCTAAATGACAAAGGGCGGGGGGAGTTTCCCTACTAGAGGAAGGACCCTATAGCAATCCCTGAGGGTGCATCTAGGGAATGCCCTTGGCAATGTTTTATTTAGAGACTCAGAATAATTCCCAGACTTCATCAGTGATGTGCCCGGGAAGGATGGGGGGTGTTCAGTCAGTGGCCTGGTTTTATCTTACATCAATTGGGGGGATTCTGTGATAAGAAAGTGAGCCCTGGATACTTTTCTGAAATGCTACCCATTGCCTATTTGGGCCCCAGAATCGTTCATTCATTTGTTATTCACTTTGCTAATACACGGTGAGCATGCCCCTGGGCTAAGTGCTATGCTGGCCGTACCTGAGACAGACCTGCCCTAGGTAACTCTTTAAGCATCCACTCCCCAACCTTACAGAGCAGCAAGTTAGGGGGATCAGGGTAACATCCAAGGCTGTAATCTGGTGACACATTTTCTCTCTATGTGGCTTGTGATGAGGACTAAGTGAGGAGACGCCTAAGCACCCAGCATGGTGCTTGGCACACAGTAGGATGTCTGGGTTTTTCCAGGACAGCTTTATACGGTGCAGAGACCCCACTGTGTTTTATGTTCTCCTGATATTTTCAAATAGGAACATTTTGGGGATTTAGAGATTCAAGTCTACATAAACCAGCCAGTACTACTTAAATCAGTCACTGTGACAGAACCACAGGGTCCCTGAAGTGTTCACAGTAACTGCCCTGCTCTTGAATAATCTTCCACACTGGCTTGGGTGTTCCTATATTCCTGGGCTAACACTTTGACTTCACTGTTCTCCTCTTGCCCCTTATTAGAAACAAGTTGTAAACCACGTCTCACAAGGTAAGAGACATTTCTGAAACTTTAAGTTTTTTTTTTTTCTGAGAACTCAGTCTTAGCAAAAAGAAATATTACACACGGATTGAACCTTGGCTGTTCACCTATGAAATGTTGGAGGCACTTCCAACTGTTGAAAGCCACCAGGTGATGGAGAAGACAGCAGAGAGACTGAGTTCAGGTTGCCAAGCTGTGCCATCTTGAACAAATTCCTGAGTTATTTTTTTCCCCCAAGCCTTAATTTACCTATCTGTGAAATGGGTACACCCACAGAGTTGTCAGGAACTAATGAAACAAGGGGTGTGGACGTGCTTATTACACTTTCCACTCACGGCTTAATAAACATAGTGGTTCTTCTTGCCCGGGTGCCACCATGGGCAGGCTGCCGTGTGTGCGCGCGCGCACGCGTGTGTGCACATGAGTGTGCACGCGGTGCTCTGGCTGGGCTGGGGTCGGGCCGCGCCAGAGCGGGGGCCGCGCGTCGAAGAAGCTGCCGTGACCGGGACGAGCCGAGGGGGCGTCGGGCGCTGGGAGCACCGGCCAGACTCGGTGGAGCGTCGCCCAGCCGGGCGCCTGGGTCGCCGCGACCGCCCCTTTTCGGGGGACTTGGCCGAGGAGATCCGCCTGCGGGAGAGGAGCAGGTCTGCCGTCTGGGCACGGGGAGAGGGAGGTGTGTGTGTGTGTGTTCGCGCGCGCGCGTGTACGTGTGTGCGCGCGTGTGCCTGTCTGTAGGGGTGGGTGTGTAGGAATGTGCTTGTGGAGGGGAGTGATGGTGTATGATGTGTATCTGTATTCTGAGTGTGCGAATGTGTGTGTAGGGGTGTGTGTGCCTCTGTGTCTGTGTATACTGTGTGTCTGTGAGGTAGGGTGTGTGTGTGTGTGTGCGTGTGTGAGACAGAGAGAGAGACTGAGCAGGCTGGAAGCTCACAGAGGTTGGATCTGAACCCATGTAGGAGGGAGGGGGCTTGGCAGGACTGAATGTGTGTGTGTTTGTGTGTGTGTGCACTTAGGCGCAGGGATGTGTGAAGGGTGAGTAGGTGAGTGTGGGTCAGGGTGCTAGGTGTGGCCGTGTGTGTGATGTAACAGTGGTGGATACACGTGTGTGCCCCCTGGCTTCCCCTCCCCTTCCCCTTCCAGCTGTGTGCGCCTGGGGTGAGTCAGGCATCTACTGCCGCCAGCCCTTGGTCCAGCTTGCCTGCCTGGCCATCTTCCCTCCAGGAAGCCAGAGATGGCCAAGCTGTCCCTCCCGCCAGTACTTCTAGGGTTAAGGGATGGCGAGCACGCCAAGCCCCAGGCAAGAGGGAAAAGGCTGAAGGGGCAGAGCTTCTGCCAGCCCCGGCCCCTGCTTCCCTGGCCAGAGCCGCCTTCTCCACCTCTGCCATCCTCACACTGCGCTTTATCCCTCCAGGCCTCCCTGGGTCTGAGTGAGAGTGAGGCTGGAGCAGGGGTGGGAGTAGGGGGACACTCATCTGTGAGGGGAGCTTGTTCACAGTTCTGTTACCAGAAGGGTGCTCGACACGTAGTGTGCTCGACACGTAGTAGGCCCCAGCAGACACTCTAGGGCAAAAGGAGGAAGAAGGGAAGAAAGGAAGGGAGGGGATCAGAGTCTAGGAGTCAAGTCCACGTGTTCTGCTATCAGTCAAGGGTGAGGGCAGCTGGATGCAGTCAGACCCCAGGCCTCAGACCGAGCAGGTGGGGGTGGGGGGTGGGCACTTAGGGAGAAGGAGCCTTGGCTGGAACGGAAGGGGAACTGCAGGGGAGAGACTGGTTCTGGGGCCTGAATGTTCAGCAAGAAGCTGGCCACTCTCCTCGGGCAGAAGCCTTTGTGTCTTGCCCCCACCACCTGCTTCTCCTGGATCCGCAGCCTCTCTTGGGGGCATCAGATTCCAACCCGCCAGGGCTCATAGCACCTCTCCTCTCTCCAGGACCTTCGTGCTCAAAGGTGCGGAAGACCCAAGCTCGCGGCCCCACCAGGTCATGGCAGGGTACGGCTATCTGGGGCTGGGGCTGTTCTGCTGGGTCCTGCTTGCTGTTCCTGCGGGCCCCCAGCCTGCCTCCTCTGTCCCAGGGGCCCCTCTCACCACTTTGACCCCTCCACCCCAGAGTGAGGCCTCTATGCTGTCTCTCAACCTGGGACTTAACTTCAAATTCCACCTTCGGGGACCGGCTGCTGTCTGGGGGAACCCTATCACGGAGACCCAGGCACTTTCTCCCAGGCCGAGCCGGGAGCCCAGGGCAGAGGCGGCCGATGGGCTGAGGACTGACCCGCTTTGGGAACTGCTGATGGGCTCTCTCGGAAACTCCCCGCCAGAGTGGGGCTCTGCAGAAGGCAGCTCTACTCCGCGGGCCTCCTCCCCGGCTCTGGAGTCCGCGTCCCTCCTCTCGGGGCCTGCTGATGGGCCCACTGTGCCCTATCGGCCCGGGATGGGCACTGTGACCTGGGACACTGCTCTGACAGCCACGGCAACTCCATCCAGTGCGCCCAGGCTCCGCCAGAGCGAGCTGGAGCTGAAGTTCAATGTGGCGTTGAGAGCAGGCGCGGCCCCCACGCTCGGGCATCGAACGCTGCCCCTGCTGCCCAGCCTGCGGGCCAGCCTGGCAGAGATTGCTGGGCGCCTGGGACCCTTTGGTGAGTACCCACCCCCTCCCAAGGAGAGCCGCTGCTGGGCCATCCGGCAGGTAGGAGGAAGCTTCAGCATGGGGCTCCTTTTGCAGGGTTCTTTGGCACTACACTGTCCCCGCTCCGGAACTTATCAGGCCCGAGTCCCCCAGGCCCAATTACATCCCCAGGCTCTGCCTCTGGAGTTTCAGATTCTCCAGGTGAGTGTCTATTTCACTGCAACAAACGTTTATAGAACATCTCTAAATGGCAGTGCCTCCTTTTTTCTCTGACTTAAGGGGAGCTTGCATTCCTTCTCCCAGGCCCTGGGATACAGCCACTGCTCCCATGGGGAAATGCCCTTTTGTCATACAAAGTCTGGTTTGGCCCTTGTAGTTTAGCTTCTGGTATACACGTGGCTGGGCTTCCCTAGTAGCTCAGCTGGTAAAGAATCTACCTACAATGCAGGAGATGCTGGTTTGATTCCTGGGTTGGGAAGATCCCCCTGGAGAAGGGATTGGCTACCCACTCCAGTATTCTTGGGTTTCCCTGGTGGCTCAGACGGTAAAGAATCTGCCTGCAATGTCGGAGACCTGGGTTCGATCCCTAGGTTGGGAAAATCCCCTGGAGGAGGGCATGGCAACCCATTCCCGTATTCTTGCCTGGAGAGTCCCCGTGAACAGAGGAGCCTGGTGGGCTACAGTCCATGGGGGTCGCAAAGAGTCGCTGAGCGGTGAAGCACAGCACAGCACATACACGTGGCTGGGCTTTCTAGGTGGCGCTGGTGGTAAAGAACCTTGCTGCCAATGCGAGATGTAAGAGACGGGGTAACCCTGGGTGGGGAAGACCCCTGGGGAAAGAAATGGCAACCCACTCAGGTATTCTTGCCTGGAGGAGCCTGACGGGCTACAGTCCCTAGGGTTGCAAAGAGTCAGACACAACTGAAGCCACTTAGCGCACACACACGCATACATGTGGCTACAATTCCTGGGAGAGTGTCCCCTTTTGGTCAAGCTCTGAGAAAGGACTTGATTTTCTCCAAAGTTCCAGAGGCCAATGCCTGGCTGGCACTCTAGCCCTATGTGCTCCCTTTGCAGGATTCTTTGGCACCACTCTGTCCCTGCCCCCATCCCCCCAGGAAAGAAAGCTCCCAAGTCCAAGGCCACTGGATCCAGCTGCTTCTCTAAGCTCTGCGTTAATTGCAACAGCATCATTAGGTAAGTGTCCAATTCATTTGAACTTGATGATTATTTATTGAGCACATACTACGTGCTAGCCATGCACTGACATTCTGGGATCCTTGTATTTGACTGTCATCATGATCACCATTCTCTTCATTATCACCATGGAGATGTACATAAATGGTCTGAGAGCAAGTGTTGCTGAGGATGGTCCCACAGAGTTAAATAGCAGTCCTCTGGGAGTTTTGTAATCATAGGCAGAGCAGGATGTAGACAAATGTATCAGGGCAAACAGACTCAGGAACTCCTTCATAATTTCCACAGCCTCAGTACTAACCCTGCCCTCCACTTGAGTCTGCCTGGCCTGCCTCCCACCCTCCCACTCTGAGCTTGGGGCTCTCTCCTTTGCTGTCTGATCTGACATGACATGCTGTCACATGTGGGCAGAGCAGGGCCCCTCATTGGGAAGACATTGAAGAGAAGACCCTGAGCAGACGGATGCCATCCTTGTCAAAGGAACCTTTCAGAACATGTGTAGAGACAAGCTGGTGGTGCAGATGAAAGACCAGGGGCTGTGGGATCTTGAGACCTGGCTTTGAATCCCAGTCTGCTTCCTAACTGGCTAGTCACCCCACCCTCTTTCCCGCTCCTCAATGATGGCTGGACAGGCTATTTAAATTCTTTGAGCCTTAATTTTCTCATATATCTAGGGTTTAGTAATAGTGCCTATTTTGCTATTGTAAAGCTTCCATGTAATGTAAATTTCGGGCATGAGGCTGGTCATGAAATATTAGCTCATTAAATAGTACCTGTTAACGTGGTTTCCCCCACATCGTGTTCCAAATACACTTCTAGGTATTCTTCTCAGACACTGCAACTGTGGCCCCAAAATGTGATGGGACAACACATACTGTAAAAGGCAGAGGACACGCTCCTTGGGGAGGGGTTCTGGTAGGTGAAGCCAAGGGAGCCAGGCAAAGGGCCAACTGTGACTGGTTGCCCCCCCCACCTCCCCACACACCAGGAACTGGTGCAGCAAAGGAAACCACTGGTCCCCAAGCTTCTTCCAGTTCTAGACTTAACACAGCAACTGACTGTTGACCACCTGACTGTTGCTCACTCCCTAGCAGTCCCAGCACTCCAGGGCATGTGGGTGGGAAGCCTGCCTTTCCCATCCAGCCCAGTGAGCAGCAGTGGCAGGATCTGCTGTGGAGCTGAGGGCAGGCTCTGTGTCCTCAAGGGAAGGAGGCTGGCTGGCGGTCTGTCAGCCTTGGTGACAGTGCTGGCCAGGCAGGTTTAATGAGTCTGGACAGTATCAGAGGCAGCCCGGCCGGCTGGTGGCCCCACCCTCCTTCCGCCTCCTCAATGATGGCTGCAGGAATCCAGTCTCTTCCTGGCTGTTCCTCCTGGATAAACCTCGGAGGGCTCCAGGCCTCCTGGAGGAAAGGCCAAAGGGTTTTTTGTTCACGCCAGTACCTTCTGAGGGGAGTAATGCCAAGTAGTTGGGGGATAAAGGAATCTCTCTGTATCTTCTCTAGGAACTTTCTAACCTAGGTACAGTTAACCTTTGGCCCTAGGGCTTCTCTTCTCTAGTTCCTCTTTGAACCTGAAAGAGGACTGTGAAAGAGCTGGCTTAAAACTCAACATTCAGAAGACTAAGATGATGGCATCCAGGCCCATCACTTCATGGCAAATAGATGGGGAAAAAGTGGAAGCAGTGACAGCCTTTATTTTCTTGGGCTCCCAAATCACTGTGGATGGTGACTGCAGCCATGAAGTGAAAAGATGCTTGCTCCTTGGAAGAAAAGCTATGACAAACCTAGACAGCATACTAAAAAGCAGAGACATTACTTTGCCAACAAAGTTTTGTATAGTCAAAGCTATGGTTTTTCCAGTAGTCATGTGAGGGCATCTGAAGAGGCCAAAACATGAGGGTGAGGGAAAGTGTGTGTGTATTTGATCCCACTGCTGTCAGACTGGCTCTGCCCCACCCCATCCCACCAGCAAATCATCAGTTCCAGCTGAATGATTCTCCATTTAATTCACTGCTGTGTCTTCAGTAGGTGTTTGGGGATGGTCAGTCTATTCAAATGGTGTTCTTCAAACAAGGTTCACAGAGTGAGACAATGTGTTGATGTTCACTGATTTGGCTAATTGTTGACTTTATAAGGGACAACAGCCTTTTGTTAGTTAAATCAAGAATGAGTTTGAGGCCCCAGAAATGGTCACACTGACACAGACACACACTAGTGACTGATGGGTGATGAACATTAGCCCATAATGATGAGACCAACAGCAGTTGTATATCGAACGCTGATTATGCACCAGGCTCTCTGAAGAGCTTTGCACACATTGGCCATTTATCCTCATCACAGCCCTGCGCTCTTCCCCATTTCAGACTCGAGGCATGTGAAGGGACAGGAACCAGGGAACATGCTGCCACTGAGCAGGCAGCCTTCTGTAAATATATAATGTTTTGGCAGCTCCCTCTCTGCCCTCTCCAGTTGCCCAATTCTACCTTTCCCTCCCTTCTCTCCGGGACTGCTTTTGGGCCCTCTCACTCCTTTCCCTTGTTCTCAGGACTGCTCAGTTTTACATGTCCTCAGTTCAAGCTGGCACTGCCTGGGGTGGGGTGGGGGGTGATCCTGGGGCCTTCCTGTTTTGTCCCACCGAGGCAGGGCTGAGTATGGCCAAACAGTTGGGGCAGGGGTCTGCTTGTCAAGAGATCCTCCTTGCCTCATCTACACCTGTCTCCTGCACATCTCCCCATCCCCAGCTGGCTCCCCCATCCTTCACCACGATCTTTCTGCCTCCATCCCTGCCCGCAGCTGTGCTTCTGCCCAGCCTGCTAGGTGGGGGAGGGAGGTTTAGTCTGAAGCGTCTTCCCTTGCTCCCTGGCCAGGAGGAAAATCTTTGGGTCTAGCTCTTTCTCACTCCTCTCTTGTTCCAGGAGAGTAGCATGGGGGATCTTAGTCCTCACACTCTCTTACCTGACTTTCCTTTCCTTGGGGGATGTGTGGAACTGGAGCCCGAGTTAGCCCGAGCCCCCAGGGCACCTGAGGGGCTCACTTGCTAGGATGGCGTTTTATCCCACTATGATCCCCACAGATGTTCCTTCCTGGGAGTTCAAGGGTAGTCTTGAGACCTAGGGGAGTGATCTCAATGGCATCTTCTGTAAAAGGGGTGAAAACCAAAGGAGTCTTAAGGGCCTCAGACTAACGGCTTGTAGTTGAGTCAGGATGGGGACCATGGCCACTGGTAGGCTGAGGGTTGGAGGTATAGCAGGCAGGAAGGCCAGTGAATATGAAAGATTGCTGGGGACAGGAGGGTTGTATCACTTCCTCTGCTGTGTGTGTGCGCGTGCACATGTACCCGTGGTGGCCTTCCCTGAAGACACTGGGAGAAGGGGGAAGCTTTTGAAAACAGGCTGGAGAAGCGCCTTCCAGCACCAAGGTGTGATATGGGGGTCAGGGGTGCAGAACAAGAGATAAGCAAAGTAGTATTATGAACTTGCTGTGCCATCAAGAAGAGGGGCTCAAACTGGTGCTCAGATCTGGATTTTAGATGCAGCTCTGCTAATGTGTAACTTTGGACAAGTCACTTTGCCTCTAGGCGCAGCCTCAATATCTTCATCTGGCATGTATTCAGTGAGTATCTGCTGAACACCAACTCTGTGCCAGGACGTTTTAGGGAGGAGTATTCAGATGTGAGCAAAGCAAACAAAAATCCTTGTTCTCATGACCTCTCCTTCCTGGCAGGAGGGTTCAGTTAGAGGGGGCTTCTTCTATAGCTCCCTCCACTTATAAAATTCTGTGACCTCTTAAGAAAAACCCTTTTCAGTGGAATCACAGTGTACTGAACAAAGCTGGGAGCTGGGCCTGCATGGGATGAGGGGAGGGGATGAAAGCTGAAACTGTAAGAGTTTGATATGGGAGGGGTGGCCAGGTCCCTGAATCTCCTATTTATGACAAGTCCTTCCTGGATGTCAGGAGGACTCCCACTGGCATACAGGCTACTGGCTGTATGGTGGGTAAGGGGAGGGTTGCACGAATGCCTCAGACGAACATTCTTTGCCCACAGAGTCCACCACCCCCACCTCTGGCCTGGACGACCCCTCTCCTGCCAGCCTTGGGAACCTTTCGGTGCAGCCAGAGTGTGGGCCAGGGTCCTGCAGTATCAGAGAGCGGCCTGAACGCGAGGGGCAGCTGGCTACGGCGGCCAACCTGGCCTGGAGGGGCCCTGGCCCTGGTGGGCCTTCCAGCTCGGCCTGCGCTTAGGCGAGGTGGGCGTTGCGCTCCCGTTGGCGCTGCTGGGCCTCTACCCGGCGCTCTGCAGTTCCCGCGTGCCGCCGCGCTGCTGGGCCAAGCTCTTCCGCCTGTCCCCGGGCCACGCCGCCCCGCTGCTGCCCGGAGGCTGGGTCACTGGGGCTCCGGACAAGAAGCCGCTGGGGAGCTCCATCGCGCGTGGCGACGCGGAACTGCTGCAGCTGTGCGCCCTGGCCGGACCGGGCCCCGACCTCCTCCTCCAGGGAGGAGGCTGCCGGAGCTTCGATGGCGCGGCCGCCCACCCGGCGCCTTCCCCGGCCTCGTCTCCCTGCAGCGATGACACCGTGGACTTCCGCCCGCCGTCCCCCATCAACCTGAGGCGCAGCATCGAAGAGGCCCTCTGCAGCGAAGCCCTGCTGGCGCCCGGCCTCTTCCAGGTCCCGGCCTTCGGGGAAGCTCTGCCTAGCCTTGGCGTCTACCGCACCGCCTCGCTGGGGGCTCAGACCGGGGCTGGGCCCCTTGGGAGGTCTGGGGAGGCCCCTGGCTCCCCGGCACCCCGCGAGCTCCCCTCTCCTGGGACCTGGCCCGCGGGCAGCAGCGCCTCCTCCGGCTCGCTGTGCGGACTCTCGCGGGACAGCTCGTCCGTGCTCCTATGCTCCAGCCCGGACAGGGCCCCGCGCTGTCCGCTGGTCTGCGTCCTCAGCCCTCCGCGGCCCTCAGGAAGCAGCCCCAGCCTCCCGGCCTCAGGATCCTACCAGGCCCTGTCCCCACCCTCCCGCGACTCCCCAGAACCTGCTCCTGAGCTGCAGGCCGAAGAGGCCTTGCTGCAGGAGCAATTCCTGGACGCCTGCCGACAGATTGACGAGCTGAGCATGGGCAGCGACACCATAGACCTGTGAAGAGGTGGCCCCCTAGCCACCCTCGATCGCACGCCCCCTTCTGGCGCCTGTTCTGCCCCCCATCCCCCCACCCGAGACCTGCACACTGTAACCCTTCCCCAATCCTGCCTGGCTCAGATACCTCTCCCGGCTTCCTTTCCCATCCGGAGAACCCTGGATGGGTGGGTCAGCAGCCAGGCTCTGTTGATGGGGAACTATCCACCTTCTCTGGAGCCTTGGGGCGTTGATGCCCTCAGCTGCAATACTAGGCTGGCAGGGGTCCCACTGTCCTTGGCATTCACCAGCAATAAAGCTCCAAGGTGCTCCACTCCAGACCACCACTTCCCACTCTGGTGCTGAGTGAGAGGGGCTGTCCTTAGAAGACCTCAGGACCCACCTCTGTCCCCAGACCCACCTCAGCTACGCCCAGGAATCCCACCCCTGCTGAGTGAGACTCCCGTGTCCTCCACATGATCCTTCCCCGTAGAAGGGTCCATGGCCCATCTAGGAGACTCTGCAGCAGTTGGGTGGGAGAAGAGCGCTTTCAGAGTTAATTTATCAATAAAATATTTTCAGAGGAGAAAGGTCTGACCTTCTTGGTAAAGCCTAGGTAGGCAACAGCAGCAGCAGTTCTGCGAGAATAGGAAGAGAAGCAGTGTTTGGGTGGGGTGGGTCCATCTCAGACCCGAGTGACTCCTGACCGAAACGAGTCTGGTCCTCCACACGACCTTCCCCATAGATGGCTCCATGGTCCATCGGCACGAGTGAAGCTCCTGGGAGTGGCCCCTTGAAGATCCTTTTGACTCCCCAGGAAGTGGCTTTTCAGAGACGGAACACAGCCCTGAGAGGTGAGGCAGAAACTCTGCAGTAGTTGGTGGAAATGTCTGTATTCCTAGGGACCTGGCTTCATATCCTGGGGGACAACTGGTTAGGGACTAGTTAGTGGCAAAGTCCTTCATGGAAACGTTGATATGCATCTCAAGAGTATGACCACTTTGAGCTGGGATTCTCAGCAATCTCCCTGACACATACCCAGAGGAATTCACAGAGGCCTTTTGGATTCACAGAAGAAATTGCTCGCTCCATCTTCAAGTCTGCACTCACAACCCTCTTCCCTGGACAACATTCATCCCCCACACGTGCAGAGCCTCCCTGGGGAAAGCCTGTCTTCCCCAAGCCCCAGCTCCATCCTACCCACCAAAGCAGAACTCACAGTGCAGAGACCCATGAATACATCCAGCCACCAGGCGCTCTGTAATCCCTCCCTTGTCCAGGGCATTTGGCTCTGAGCATTTGTGTGCATTTGTCATTTGGCTCAAACGCAGTAAGTTCAGAGTGGCACTAAAACAGAGTTGTAGATTTTAGAACGAAATTCTGGCAGTGTTTTTGGCAGATGTCCTGCACACCATAGGGAGGCCCACAGGGGCACACATTCTAGGCTTGAAGTGGAAAAACAGGAATAGGAATGGTTTTCCTTCCAGCTCTGCCCATCAGCTCATGAGGATTTGAGCAGGGAAGCAAGGGAGCCAAGAGGGAAGCAGGCTGGGAGGGGGTGGGGTGCTCACCAGACCAGGTCTAATGCTCTAGTGGAAGAATTACAGCACTGCTCAGCTCGCCCCTGAAGCTCTGTCTTGACTGAAAAGAGCGTCCAGGGCTTGGAACCTCAGAAGGAGAAGGGGAGTAAGTGAGGGTCACAGTAGGGAAGAAAATGAGAGGAGGATAGGGCAGGCACTGCTGAGGGATGGGACCCAAGTGGTTCTGACTGTGTCTCCTCCATCACCTGGCTCAGCTTGGCTCAGAAATTCCTGCTGCATCGTCACTCTGGGCTGAGGCCCAGAGAACTGCCATCCTCCTAATTACAGGCATTTCTCACTGGTGTCGTAGTGGCTGTAGCGGCCCCAGCCTCAGAGCTGCTTTGTGTCATGGAAGGAGTGCTTGCTGCTCTGAGAAATTGTTTCCTTTCTTCCCCACGTACACCTCCATCTGCCTCTGCTCACACTCAACTCCTCTCTGCTGTCTCTCCTCATTGTAATGCTTGCCAGCTGCTCTCACTCACTCTTCCCACCATGGGTCCTTGAGTTCAGGCACACACCTCCCAGCAAAGCAGTCCAAGACCCACGTACCTCCAGTCACTCTCTCTGTCTCTCTCACACACACACACAAACACACATACATACACACAGGCTCCTTTTCTGTCTGGACATTCAGAATGGGGCTGGTGAGTTGGGGGTGGGGTGGGGGAATAGAGCCTGGTGTCCATCAGCTCCATCACTTCTTTGGTTTTCCTCAGTGAGAATCGCCTAAGCCCTTTGACTTGATCAAGAGGCTGAGGCTTTGGTGAGACAACCCTTCCCTTTTATCTCATGCCTCAGCCCTTCCTAACCCAAAGCAGTTTCCCAGAAGAGCCTGGGTAGACCAGGATGTAATATATACACCCTCAGTTCCAGTTCTTAGTGCTGTCGGAGATTGAGAGACAAACTCATTTTCATTCAATCTCTTTAAAACATTTTATTGGGTTCTTACAATGCGCTAGATGCTGGGAGTAAAAAGGGGACCTCGGTGGACAGCAGTCCTGAACTTGTGAAGCTGAAGCTCTTTGGGGGAAAGCAGATATTAAAGAGGACATCATATAAGTAATTCCAATAGCACAAATAATTAAATACAATGGTGAAAAGTGCTAAGAATGAGAAGTACGCAGTATTATTAGAATGTTTAGCTTGCAAGCGGGAATGGAGCCAAAAGGATGGAGCTTGGGAGAGGCTGGCTGAGTACAGCCCAGCCCTCTCCTACTTCCTTTCCAGGCTCCTACAAATGATGGATGAGAGAGAGTCCAGCAGTTTATTTCCCCTGGAAGCCACATTGCTGATGTGGTGCAGGGTACCACGACTCGTGCTATTTAATAAAGAACCCTGCATGTGTCCTGGAAGATGAATGAGCAAATATTCCTGATTGAAGAACTGCATGGCCTTCCTGATATGAGTGGATAGGAGAGGATGGGGCTGAGGCTGAGGCTGGGAGACTGAGATGGGGAGCGAGGTCTGAAAGTTGGGAAGAGTACAAAGGGTCAGCTGCACTGTTTTCCTTCTCTAGAGGCAAGGAACTCCTCTGCACTGTGGGTGGCTGCTGCCCTCTGATGGGCACAGGACCACAGTTTCTTTTTGTTCTGTAGGGAAGGTTTGGGTCCAAAGCATCTCCAACTTAACACTGTAGGGGGTGTCCCAAAGGGAAGCTGGAGCAGCCTTCTCAGGATTCTTTCCCTAGTGCACACTGCAGCCAGGATTGGGAAGGTGTCCCCATGGCTATGGCCCTGACGCTGGTAATTTAGACTTTGGGTATGAAATTTTGATTTCTAAGGTGGTGAGGGGGCAGGAGAGGAGGAGAAAATAAAGGAGAAATGTGGAATTGCAAACCCATTTTATTCAAAGGGTCAATTTTCCTTTGTCTATTTGTCTGTCTTTATCCTGGATGGAATTAACCCATCCATGCCCTTATAAATCTGTTTCATATTTCAATACTTCCTCCACTGAGTTATGTGTTTAAAAATAACTGTGGCATTTTCTTTCAAGCATAAAATACTTGTAGTTAGGGTTTCATAAATCTAATGTTAAACATTTTCCCTTTCCCCCCATCGCTATCAACCAGTTATCCACCAATCCAAAATGTGTGGAAAGTAGATGGGGTTTGAGGAGAAAGGGAAACCCTTTTCACTGTACCTTTTGTACTTTTGAATGTTCTACCTGCCCTGTGTTCCGCTATACTGTTTAAAAGTAATTACTAAAAAATCTCATTGGGTACTTTAGTTCTGTACAAATGTTCTGCAGGGTGCTGCAGTCTTGCACACAGGTCAGTTCCTGAGCCCAATGGGATGGCAAACACTGTGTTCCAGGTTCCAGAAGCACCCAGATCTCCTGGCCAATGAGATTACACATCCTTGGGCCCATCCAATAAGCTGACCTGAGGAAAGCTGTCTCTGGGAGGACCTGGGTTCTAGGTCTGTGTTAGCTGGACGTATTGCTTGTTCTGGGTGTGTTCTCTTGTGATCTTCCATAGTGCAGGTTTTGATTTACTTGTAAATTTTTTTTTGTACTGATGTTTGTCTATGTCCACAAGACTATTCTCCATGAAGGCAGGAGCTCTGTCTTTTTTTTAGCTCATCAATTTTATCTTTAGTGCCTGGCACATAGTAGGAGCTCAGTAAATATTTTTTGAAAGAATGATTATGTATGACCTGTGCCAATTTGAACCTTAATAGCTATAATTTGTCAGCGAAGTGTTAAAGACACAGATACAGTTATTTGTTAAAATGTGACAGATGTCTCATATTCTCTGAGAACTGGAGATTTGTTCGAATGATATATGTGATTACTTGTGTTTACTTGCATTATGACTGTGTTTTATGGACCTAATCTGGGTGCTCCTGGATCCTGGGACACAGACATTTTAGAAAATATTTATTAAATATCCACTATATGTCAGATCTTGGGTTAGACCCAGAGCAAAAACAGCTTCTCCGGCCTGCCTTGCTGAGTTTGGTATCGATCCCCAGCAGGTTAGACTGTAATAAGCCTAGAAACTAAGCGAAGCCAAATCTCCCTACAGAGGCGGGGGCGGTACTTGGGTTAGGGGGTGGAGCCTCGCTCAAGAAGTTCCGCCCTCAGGCTGCACGATTTTTTTCTTCCCTTCCGGAATGGTTTTTCCCTTTCTACCACGTTTTCCTCCGGACTCTTTTGAGTGACGCGCAATTCCGGAGTCTCCCGGCAACTTTAGTAAGCGTGGTCCGGTGCCTAAAGCCAGTTACTTGACTCGCGTGCGCGACGCTGCGTTCCTGCTTCTCGGCCTCATGGCCGGGCTGACCCTGTTTGTGGGCCGCCTCCCGCCCTCGGCTCGCAGCGAGCAGCTGGAGGAGCTATTCAGTCAGGTGGGGCCGGTCAAGCAGTGCTTCGTGGTGACTGAAAAAGGTAGGGGGCGGGGCGATCGAGAACAGAGAGTTGGGGTTCCTGGGAGCCGGATGGGGGCAGAGGACATTCTCCCAGCCTTAAGTGAGCTCTTAAATGAAAGGCCTTGGAAGTTGAATTTCTTTTCCAAACGGACTCTACTCTAGATAAATCCATAGGAACTGTTTATGAAAGTCAAGTTAGCCACTTAAGTTTATGTAGGCTTCCTGTTTATTATGCTCGCTCACAAATAAGATCTCATTTATTATTGAATAATTTAATAAATGGGATGGACAGCGTGATGGAGAGGGAGGCCTGGCGTGCTGCAGTCCATGGGGTTGCAAAGAGTCAGACACGACTAGGCGACTGAACTGAACTCAATAAAACACCACTAAGACTTACTGAGAAGCAGCTGATTGTCAGGTGCGGTGCTTGAGCTTCATCTGTTACCTCTTTTAATTTCCCCATCAGTCTTCTTGGGTGGAGAGTAAACTCCATTTTACAGATGAGAAATCTAGGGCTTAGGGAAATATAGTAACTTCAGCTTAAGTTCGTACTGCTAGAAAGCAGTGGATTCAAAATTTGATCACCAGACCCCGAGCTCTTAACCAGTATGTTATTCATTCACCCATTTATGTATTCCGTAAATG